GGTTCCGTAAGCATAAGTATAATGCAATTCTTTCTGAGAGGAATGGATTATCCTAGTAATTAGGCCGCCTGGTTTCTAGTTTGACTGTATATTTACTTTTGAGGAGTTATTCCTGAAGCACTTTTTCGCTATCCTATTTCGTAAGTGCTTTTATAACATAACCTTAAATTTCATAATTTTGCAGCTACTTAAGTGTCTTACATTATGATTACTGTTTACTTACTTACACAACGGCTCTCTTCAGTCAACGTGATGGAAAGCCCGTATGTAAATAGCAGGAGTTCAAGCCTCGTACATGCCACTCAGTTGTCATTATTATGTATGCGTTGCGAAAATAGGTACACTCTGGTATAAAATCAGTATGTAATACCATTAGGAAGTTAACTGCCATCATTGTTCTTAAGTGCCCTTATATGAATTCGTATCATAAGACTAATTCATTTCACTCGTGAGTCAGGAAAACAACTCGAAATATTTTATTTTCACTTATAACTACTAAGTATTTCGCCTGGATAGTTGCGCCATAATCTGGAAGGAGTACATGGTTGAGAGTCCAGAAAACCAGTTAGTTTGGCTGTCTGAACGAATTCGAGCTCGTCTTCACTCAGTTTTGACTGGAGTTTACTCTCACAATTGATTTGTAACCATCTATCCTGCTAGATCCAAACTCTGGGCGCACTATCTGCTGACTTTGTGGTTTTACACACCTAACAACCCCAAATGGCGAGGATGTTGTGGAATAAACGGCGAAGCCCATTTGTACGCGAATAAAAAGGACGAAACAAAAAACAAACACGCATGTATGTGGAGAGGAATTCTATTCACACAAACTGATACACATAAAATACAGTTACTTGGTGAGTTATAGTTGTCCCACAATACACAAGTGAGGACGAACAGAATTGTAGTAATGAAGCAGTCTCTTTTGGTATGCTGTTGCTCACTCCACGCAGTAGTATACCGACAGCTCAAGGGTACTTGCGGAGGGAAAAGGAGATTGAATCAAAGAATCCAAATGCGGATGTGCGGATCAGGTACGAGCCAGAGATGACTGGCAGTAGTGAGAAGCAAGAAGCCGTAGACGAAAGTGTAGGGGACCAATATTAGAGTTCACTAACATTCCAAGTATAAAAGTAATAATCCAAGTCAGTGGAGTGTTAAATCACAATATATTACCAAAAATACAGTGACGAGTTATAGCAACAAAAAGGATTACTTGAAGATAACGTCTAAGTCCTCGGCTACAAATTAATTATATAATCCACGGGCACGTTAATTGTTTGGACTGCGTCTGCTGTAGCTGCTGTGTTCCGGTTGTAGAAATGTCTTCGGTTGAGAGTAGTAGGCTCCTACAATAAATCCGAAGTATACAACACGGTGTGAGTGGAGCAAGTAAGCAGAAGTGACCAGGGAGAAGACGAAGTCTCCAACGGCAGAGTGCATTTTTCAATTGTACACAAGAAGCGTTTTAAACAAAAATTATGTACAATATCTCGAATTTATACAAGTAACCAAAAGGTGTACAATCACATTGTTACGTACTCAACAAAAGTTGTGTTGTCCGTACCATGTACTGAACCAGGCCGTGTCCTTATTCAATCTCAATTGACAACTATGATATGCTGCCACTACTTTACAATGAACGTATAATTTGAAATTTTTCGGCCTCCACATGAGGAGAATGTGAAATATACGGATGCTGAGAGGTGTAATTCTTGGCGATGATTTGAAAGGAGTCCCGACACTCACAGTGACTCAACGGTGAAGCTGCTGAGCTCTTGCTTTATGGAAACACAACATTACGTCATAAGTCGCAATCCTTACAGAAAAACAAACTGGTCGTTGAAGTTTTAATTGATTTGACAAACTTCTCCGATCCTTTGATTATGTTCTCTTCTTTAATAAACCACATGCTATTTTCAGAGTATTTTAAGACGAAAAAACTTATTCAGATACTTCCTGTTACTCTAGGGATTACTGTGTTCTGGGTATTGGACGAATGCTAATTTTTGGCGGTTAAACAGTTACTGCGTTACTTCGTGTGTCTTATGCCTTAAAAGTTTGTTTAACGCTTTTATTCAATGTGTTTAGACAAGTTTGGTCATAAGGACCCAACACAACATTCTAAATGCGTCTTATAAACATCGCAGATGTTATTTCTACTTGTTTAATATTTCATCTATTCTCCTGTGTACATATCCAACTGATTTTGCGGTTTACTGTCTCTAAGTCGTTAGTTATTAAAAAAATTTCAAGGATTTTTGGCATTGGAGCGAAACTTTGCTTCAAGCGTGGATTCCAAAATTACCTTAGGCGTAACAGTGGTGCGGAAAAGGCAATTTTACGTATAATATACATGTATATGTGAAAATAGTGAGTAAACAGGCATGAAGCTGCTACACAGGATAACTTTCGTTAAGGTTTGACGAATGTGTCCCTCAGTTTTGCATTAAAGTGTCAACAGACTAATTAAATCACTAGTTTAATTAAACGGAAAAGAGGGAGATTATTAGGAAATGTAAGTGGGAATTTTGTGAAAAAGAGTAGATTTGGGATAAAATGTAGAATTTACGATTAAAGTGAGGATATTATCGTGCTTCCCATAATTATTGAAATTCAGCATTTGTTGAATGGTCGGGATGAGCTATTCTAATTCTCCACACGAACATACATCTGTTGCTGCTGCTTGCCATGGGAACTCTATCAATAATGACCAGGGACGCTAATTCCTGTAACTATACTCTCCTTGAATCAGTGAGTCATACAGACATTATCGGCGAAGTACAAGAATAGCGTCCGAGGAGTGCGAACGCTTCAATGACCTTGAACGCATGCTAGTCGTTGGCTAACGGCACCGGTCATTATCATAGATGAAATATCAACCCTATTCATCAAATAAGGAGCAAATTTCACCCAGATAACGCGTTTAATTACTGTTTGGATAATGTGTTAACATCTCGTTGGGGTTAGGATTAGGGTTAAGGCGAGTATTGGGGTTAGGGTTACGGTCATAATTGGGATTAGGGTTAGGTTTACGGCTGGATAAGGATTGTCGTTAGGGTTAGGATTAAGTTTAGGGTTAGGGTCAGGATTAAGGTTAGGGTTGCAATTCACAAAACAGCCAATCTTCACTCACTTTGGTGAATGCATCTATAGAAACCAATCCAACCTAGCAACTGACGCTTTTCATCATAACTGGGACGTATTTTTAAGTCATGTCAGAGAAAGATAATCCGTTTAATGTATTTTCATACATTTCCTCGTGAATATACGTCATTTTTTGTGCAAAAATTCCTCAGTTTTACGATTGGCAGGCAGAAGGTCACTCGTGCGTTCGCATCCCTTGGGACGCTATTGCTGAACTTTGCCACATTCTCAACCTTGCTACTCGAATTACAAAGAACTAAACATTAAACTCAGCTATCATATAAAATATCAAAATAAACACGGTTAATTATATAAGCTACTCAAACAGTATGTTACAGTTGTTAAGGTAAATATATTATATAAGGTTACAGTTACTTGCAATTAAGTTTTAAGTTCGAATTCCATAATCCATCGGTACGGCAAATGTGTAGGCTTCGATGGTATTAACTCCACTTTGGACGTTCCCAAAGAGGTGGTTGAATACTCTGGTTTAGAATGTGACGGTTCCTGCAAATGCCAAAGTAAGCATTAAAGGATGTATTGGCGCGCAAGCAATTACTGAGAGTAAATGGACACAGCAACAACAAAGAGAGTGCATTTTAGTGTGGCGAAAAGTCTTTTCAAACGGAGATCTCAATTTAAAAAAAAGATACACGAAATGTGTCATTCTTGTCATATGACTAAAAAAAACAGAAAATCATCACTTTGGGCTCCAGACTTGATAAAACAATTGATTGCGTTCACAAATGATGATGGAATATATGAAACACTCAAAATTTCTCCACTACTGAACTCCAATCATTGCATTGTTTGAGTGTTACTTAAAATATGTTGCAAGTCATACACAAGCGTCTTCTCTTACCTTTCCAAAAAAACGCGGCAGGTATGTTACAGAACAAAATACACATTCTTAGATGAATGTCAAAGACACTAACTGGGATCTTTTTACTCAACATACACTAGACGACGCAACCACTAGCATAAGTGACTACCTAAAATTCGACCTCAACATGTTGCCCAAAACAAACGCCATGCAAAAGATTTGACCGTTTATCTTCTCCTCATCTAAAAAAGCTACCTAGAGAAAAAGAACTGTTACACGAGTCTAAGAATAAATCTGGTCTCAAAATGATTAACACTTTAAACAAATGTGAAATCCAAATTCTGAGTACTACTCATAGGTGGAGACTTTTATAATGTAAAACTCCCCCAAGCATGTGGAAGTTTCTAAGTGAAATCATTGGTAGTGGTTAGCAGAGTACTATTGTTCCCAATCTTGGTTTAAATACTCCATAAGTCTTTCATATGCCTTCCTGCTGACGTTTTGGTGGGTTCACGAAATAACGGCCATCGACGGGCCGTCGGACAGGCCATCTTTTTGTGCGTCGGTGGCACATTGGTTAGGACTCTCGCCAACCATGCACATGGTCCGGAATTCGATCCCCTGCCGACACACACCTGATATGTATGGTCGGCCTGCAAAATTTGGGCTACCGATATCCATGCTAAAAATTCCATACTTGTACCAAAAATACAGTGTGGAATCAAGCTGTAATCAAAAGTAAAAAAAATAAAAAATCATTCTGAGCGTTACAAATCATGAGGTTAGTAATTTTCACGGTTTCAATTGTTTTGATTTTCTTGGATGTCTCAAATCCCTAAGACCTTCCTAAAGCCTTGGTTCCGATGATGTACTTACTGTTGTCCTCAGCGGTTGTGCGGAAATTTTATGTTATCGCTTTACGAACATTTTCAATGCTTCTTTTTTCAGTAATGTTGTACCTGTTGCATGGAAAGACAAAATAATCTTTGTGCGTAAATCATGTACTGGTGTGAATATTATATTTAGACCTATGGTAATTACTCCTTTTTGGACATTAACGGGGAAATCACTTTTACTCAACGTTGAATGTTCCTTGAAGTTTTAACGACAGCAAATAGTTTGCATATATATAGGACATAAGTACATTAGATGTTGCTGTCGTCTTACATCATAATGTTGTATCGTGTTCAGATAAATAAGCCAAGTATGTTCGATGAACCTTACTGGACTACACATCGCTTTTGACTTTAACCAGATGTCTTTTGTGAAATAAGCTTCCTTTCACGTTAATCGAGCGCTGCGCTATTAACTGGTTGCATTCTAATTTCTTAAACTGAAAGCAGAATGTTTTATATAAAGGAAAGTCATACTGTGCCTCCGTCAAGGTGCTGTTCTCTCTTCTCTTTTTTTCATTCTTCCTACATGACTTCTCTCTTTCAGAAGAAATCAACGTCGAGTGTATTGATGATATGACTGTTCCGTTGCCAGTTATGTCCCGATCTGACTGTTCCATATTGATTAACTTTTTCGCCTGACATCAGCCAGTGGTCTAAGCTAAGTAGTTTTACATTAAAACCCTCCAAGTGCCAGATACTTAACTTCACCTTTATACATAAACGTTATGTACATGAAGTTTTTAGTTCAGAAGATACTTGAAGCATTGAGAGCACTAAAATTAAAAACCAATGACTGGAAACAATCCGTGATATAGCTCAAAATCGTTCTCAGTAGTGCAGATGCATTCACTCTCTGCCATTTGTGATACCCGATAAAATTCTATTGTTTCCCCATATTACTATTCTTTTTCCCTCACACCTGATTATTATGTCTTTTGAACCTCCCTTTACTATCTTGTGCTTTGTGTGGTGCATGGAGGGAGTGTGCCAACTCGAACTGCTGCACATCGGTGCAAAGTTCTACATTGAAACCAGCCAATCATTCATTCAGAGAGCTAATGTAGAAACTAAGGTAACCACAAAATCCCTTGGAATAGTTCTCTCCTCTAACCTTCGTCGGTCATCCCATATCTTGTTGAATTATAAGAAAATGTTCCGTCTAACCTTCTACATTACGTCTTACCATCTTGTGTATTTATTGATCCATTTTCGTCTTCCCAAGACTGCTTAAAAAGAACTATGTCACATTGTGAAGGGTACTAAAAGTCGTCACTATGGTGATTAATGTGCTACTAGGTCAGTTTGTTACTGTTTTATATGGTATTATCCATTCGTACTCGTTGAATTATAGAGAGCACAATTCCGCCCCGTGACCAACTGGTTGAGAGTCAAATACTGAGCCCTGTGTATCACAACGCCACATTTCAAAAGAAACAAACATTAATTAGGGGAGAAAAATGTATTATTGAAATCTTGTTTTCTAATGACAAATATCGTTTCTTTAATATTTCAAAAGATCAATATCTAGGATAAAAATTTATAATGTGTGTTAGTACTCAAGTATGTCATTTTCTGTTCACCTCTGTTTTGTTTTGCAGAAAATGAACCATAATTCATCCGTTACTACAGAAATTTCTACGCCTAATTCTGCCAGTGTTTCGGTAACTCATTCAACAAGTTCTGTAAGCTAGCTGTCCATTTAATGCTAATTGTTTAATAATTGATGATGTATAGATTACTACTCATCAAAGACTACCATCCAGTGGAAATCACTTACGAACATTATATCGTCAGCGTAGAGATTTCTCCAGAAAGATAAAAAAGAAAACTTCTCGAATTAATCGTCAGACAGCTAAACAGGAAGTGAAACTTGTACCATGGACACCTGGTGATGATTATTTACTGATAAATTCTGTTGTCATGGTAGGTTGTATTGTCAGTTTTCTCGCAGTTAAGATGACGGCTTTAATGATGTAAATGTAACGTGTTTTTTCTTTTCTGAATGCAAAGAGATAATCGATGGATGTTTAGATTTTAGTGTTTATGGTTTTTTTAATACTCATTTCGTGAGTGTGTATGACAAGCGATGTTGCTGGATACCACCAACGTCTATCTTCATGCACTTGACAATAAGGCATACCTACACTGTGGGATTATGTTATAAGAGGGGGAGGGGTAATGGAATAGATTTCGTGTCTACGACTTGCTAGTTTAAAACTAGCAACTCAAACCCTAGAGTCATAGCGTTATATCAACATGAAGTATAAGAGTAGTATTGTTTAACTTATCTAAATTCTCCATGAATGATATTAACTGTATCTCTTGATAACCTTTGTCGCGCGCGAGAGAGAACGGGTTTCTATCAAGAATCAAAGACAAAAACATGAAAGAGAAGCCTCCGTCGCCAAACATTACAACTGTTCCTAAGAAAACTCTCTTCATGAACCTGGAATTCAAGGGTGACATCGCAGCAGAAATTCTTAGAAACCGCCTTTGTAAATGTCTGAAGAAGACATTTCCAACAGCCATCCTTACGTATCATATTCTCTAGCAGACAGTTGATCCAGTCTAACGTTAAGGATAAGATACCACTTTTGGCCACTCCAATGTGTATTTATCAATTTATTTGCTTGTGTGGAGCAAAGTATACCGGCCGTATGCAACGTCAAGTCCAAAAACGTATTCTGGAACACTGTCCAGCTTAGTTAGCCAGAGGAGAAAAGAAGAATAGCAGCAGCTCTATCCTCGAACACCTTGTCATCTCTGGACATCGTGCACCCCCGCATGAATGCTTCACAGTGCTACATAGAGTTCCTCGATATCGTACAAAGGTACTTCGCATATGCCATCTGTACATAGTTGAAGCATTAGCTATTCGGAATTTGAAACCGGACATTTGCATTCGAAAGCGATACATACATTCACTCGTTCTACCGAGGCCAGAGTGAAGTTCTTACTATAATTTTGCTTCTTTTTATTATGTAAATTACTATTATTATTAATGTTGATACTTTTATTATCAGTATTATTCCCATAATACACATTTTACTACCACTCTATTAATGTTTATTAATAACATTGCTTTGTCATTTTATATAAAAACACTTTATCGCCTTTCCACTAGTTCCTGTCCATTCTACACGAGCGTATTGATTAGTCATTATCTCACACTTATTACGTCATGTCGACTTCTGCCTCTTCTCTAACTTACACTTAGTCATCTCTTCTTACACCTTACATTATGTAATACAATTTTTCAAGGCCAAAGTTTGCCAGTATCTGATTGGTCTAAATATTTCTTTGTTAAATATAATTATGATTGTATACAGCTCATGAAAATAAATTGTCGAAAAGGAAATTTTCGTCTCTGTTTACGCGCTTTTTTCTTATTTGTCGTGGTCGCTTGTTAATGTACACGACAAACGTTGTCAAGAGATACAGTTATTTCATTCATGGAGAATTTAGATAAGCTCTCTTCATACTGACGTTTGTGCTGAAAATGTTATGTAAAAAGGTAATGAAAGCTTCACAATTATACCATCGAACTCAGAGCATGCAACCACCGCAAAATCACCCACCTGAGCCATGCATCTTATATTATTTTAACCAAGTTTCATTGATTTAATTCAATTAAATAATTAATATGACCCGTTGCATAAGAGGCAGTGGCTCTCGTAGCCTAAGTGGTCTAGTGGATAACGTGTTGGTGTTTGAAATTATAATCACTGGGTTCGAGCCTCGGTGGGAACATCATCACTAACTCACTGGGAAATGCAGGCACATCTAGCGGGCGTGTCCTAAATAGGACGAAATTCGCGTTATCCTGGATTCCACTGCTAGTCATCATGCACAAATTAAATTCAAGTTTCATTGAGTTTTTCATCATCCACAAATATGCTATATGACGATAAGAACGGTTTGAAAAATTATAAAATTGCACAACTTGTAGAGTAATGGCGTGAAGGAGATCCAGTTTATCTTAATATATTCTCATCAAAAACACTTCATGATAAATACTACCCTAGCTCCAAGTAGATATGCAGTTTGAATTATTCATTGTCATTAAGTTAAGCAATAATGCTTAACCTTTTTTCAATTAGAACTATGTGTCAACTAGGCCAAATCAGCTGACTAATCCTTATGATTAGTTATCGTACTTAAGTAGTTTTTCAGCTATCCAACTGTGGTGTTAACCTTTCCCCTAACACCTGTTATAGTAGGTAGTAATCTTATATTGGCCGTTGCTCTAAGAACTTGATTTTTCGTGCTCACTCGAGAACATCTCCCACCATGGCTAAGTGAAGGTGTAGTTAAAACCATCAACAGTTCAATATTAGATCATCTGGCGCAAACCGGCCACAAAGACAGCCAGCCAGCGTGGAGTAATCCTTCTCTATCATCATCTACCGGGTGCCTAATAAATTTCCAAAATCATCGAAGCACCCCGCATGCTCCAAACACCAGAGGCTATTGCAATTCGCCTCAAACAACCAGTGCTCTCTGTTCAAAAGAAGCAAGTCTAACAAGTCACTACTACTGCCCTGGCCGGCCTTCAGTAGAGACTATAAATTCATGAGTTTGTAATATTATCTTTCCTAATTTACCTGTCTGACATTCAGCTTATTTTATGTTGATGCTATTGAGCTGTAATCTATCAATATTAGTGATTCGATGTTATTTAAACAGCAACATTAATGTTGTTGATAACACTAATTCATTCATTCACTATAATGTGTATATGTAACTGTAGAGCCTGATGATGAAGGGGTTATCGAAAAGAGTGCTGTTTGTTCAGTACCCATTCTTTTGAAAATTTTAATGGGCATTTTTAATCTAAAACGTAAAAGTGCTTTAAACTAATCAAATGTATTATTGAAATGCGTGGAAAAATTAAAACCTAATCACACACCTATTCAAGTGTTGGTTGGAACAATTGGCCTAAAGGTCTACAAACTCACTTTGTAACCAGAAGGTTCTGAGTTGGAAATCTGGTGATGGGTGCTTACTACTGGAGGGTCCCAGACTAGGTTGACGCAACAGCTGTCCAGTACTCACAGTTGACGATGAAATCGTGTAACAAATCACACTTATATTCTACACTGGTTACAAGCAGCACAGATTTAAACATTAGACGATAACCGTTTGTTCTTTCTCATCCAAATTGGAAGTAATATTCGGACTGTTTGTCTGTGTTAGTTATTCATATTCAGATGTGTGTATAATTCAGCTTTTCATACAGAATTTGTGTACACATCAGTCCCATGAAATTAAGTAACTGTCGTCTGTTGTTAGACTGCAAAATATTTTCAAATTTATTCTGAGTAATTTTAAAATCCTCAAGTTGTGTGTTGTCTCTGGAAATTTTTTACTGATGTTCTTGAAGGAGATTTGGTTTACGTGTCCCGTCTAGTGGGATATTTAGAGGTTTTTAAAAAAAAATCATCCTTAGGACTAATGAACAGTTGCAATCAGGACATTTTTAGTAATAGTAATAATAATAGTCTGCTTTATTCCAAAAACAGTACTTATCATACAGCATAGAATTTTCAGCATTTGTAACAGTATTGTGTCTGATTTCCTGAATGTAAGTGGAATATACCACAGGAACTTTTCCCCCATGTCCAGTGGGAATAGTGTCAGAAATGTACATAGTATAATTGTGGTGAGAGCTGTCTGCCAGCCGAAATTGGTAGACAGCAGTTTACGTCAATGTTTACGTCCCAAATCTTGGTCATAAGAAAAAGAAACATAAACAAAGACTAACCTTGAGGAACACAACAACCAATCACAGCAGACTTAGCGTGGGCGGATACGATTAGCAGATTTATCAACGGATTGTTCGGGAAATGGCAACAAAAGAATGACAGAATAACCTGGAGCAAGAAAACAACCAATCAGAAGACGTTGCTTCTCTGCTAACAATAAAGAATAGTAATAATGTACATAAAATCTATAAATATCTGTTGATTTTCTCAATAAACGATCTGTTGCCTGGCCCTTGTCTTCTGTCGTTACATAAAATGAGAGTAATAACTATGATAATAATAGTGATAATTACAGTAGGTTTGTTTCAAACAATATTGTCGATATAAAATATGGAAATCTTATTATGTTATAGAATATTGAATCTAATGTTCTCTTGACATAGCGTGGATGGGGGGAGAAACAAAAACGCCTATAACCGAGCCTAAATGGTGTTTACACTTATGAAAAAAAAATAAGGAGAATATAAATGTTAGAGGAATAATAACAGTAAAGCTTTATGGAATAAGGGTGAAGGAAATTAATTATTTACTAGTGAAAAAAAGGTTAGTTAGTTCGTCCATGACACAATTTTCATAACTTAAAATACATACCTAATATGATATTGTGGAAGATTTATACTTAGATGTGTGCGTGTAAATTATTTTGAAATGACTTCTTGTTTTACACTGAGGAGACGCAAGATGAAAGCCACGGGTAACGTGGATGCTCACAGTCTGACAAAATCCCTTTAGCAGGTTTATTGTATGAAATTAAATCCCTGCCAATGACGATGTCAACGATATAGCTCATTGGGATACCATTTGCTCCACCAACAGCCTTCAAAGTTCTACTCAGTATGACAGTCGTTTCTAAATAACCATGGAAAGAATAAAAGTGAACAATATAGAAGAATAGGTAAGATAAAAGAGTTGAAAAACTGTAAGAGTAGAGGTTGAGTTATGCCCGAATACCGTAACTTCTTAATGTAAAATGTGAGACGGAATATTTTACTGGAAATCTCTAAGACGTGGGGACACTAGGATAGCGGTACTGTAAACCATTAGTATAAGTACTTGTCTTCCCATTAGAAGAATCAGTGTTCAGACAAATTTCCCTATCTTTCAACTTGCTCAACAGGATGGTTTTGTAAATTACTACACGCGCTCACATGGTGTGTAGGTGGTGTTTGTATAACACAGGAAACCTGTGACAATAAATGAGTTGGATGGAGGATTTCATCATGAGTTGACATCAGTTAGAAACCCATTGGAAAACCAGCTAGAGGTACTGGACAGCTGTTCCCTCCGTCCTAGTTCGGGACTTTTCATCAGTACGCACCACCGGAGTTCGAACACAGGACCTTCTGGTTACAAAGTGAGTTTGTAGACCATTAAGCCACCGGGACCCGATCCAATGACCGGCCGCCCATGAGTTCTGACTTCTGTCAATTCATGAAATAGTGGGAAGCCGTGACCAGCATTGGGCAGCAGGTTGAAGATGAGGCAGTAACTCATCGTAGGAGAAATTGCGAAATGGTCGCGCTATGTCGTGAATTCGCAGAAGTTCGGATTCATGGACCGGTCATTGGATCGGGTCCCAGTGGTTCAATGGTCTACGAGCTCGCTAGTCTTTTAACCAGAAGGTCCTGTGTTCGAACCTCGGTGGGTGCGCACTGATGAAGAGTCCCAAACTAGTACTCCCTGCAGGTTTTCTAATGGTTCTCTAACCGGTGTCAGCTCATGATGAAATCCTCCATGCAATCAAACAAAATCCCTACAAAGCCAATTACTTGAAAAATAAATGATTTGTACAGCCGTTATTATTAAACTTGTTCTAATCATCTAGTTGTATAAACCTCTTCTGTATACAATAGGTATGTAATCTTACTGAGGTGTATCATACCGTAAGATTTGCCGTTCACTATACAGAGAAGGAGATAGAAGACCGTTGGCGTGATCTACTATTCGATCCTATCGTTTCAAGGTAAGTCTCAAAAAATGTACTTTATTTTTACTACTATTTTATTTTATGAGTAGTAAAAGTTTTAAGTGTGTGTATTTCTCTGTAATGAATGATATGAATGGAAAATATTTCTATTTCTATCTGTTGACTAATTGTAAGGTAGTGAATCTACTTGTGACGAGTTATGTTTCAGTGATCTTTTCGCTGACCACAGGGAGGGGGCTCTTCGATCACGGTTTCGAATTCAAGGATTGTAGTATTTTCTAAGTTGTTGCGTCAGTACATGTTGTCATAGTTGTGTATATTGTCCCGATATATCCACTTCCTTTGCCCTTACTTATAGACAAGTGTATTACCAGCCTGTTATATCTGCTTTAAGGGAGTGTTCATATTTATGCACTTCGTAAAATGATACTGTTGTGGGAATCTCTGTGGTAAGAAAGTTTCAATATGAACAGGAATTCAATGAGCTATGCAGTTATCGTATAGCTTATTCTTTACACGGATAAATTAAATAGATTTTCCGAAGCGGTAGACAGGTGAATCACTAAACCACTTTATCTAGAATGATAAAGATAAAAGTGATCCATGAGGGATTGATTGGGTTGATTACGTTTCGAGCACAATATATTGCTCATAATCAGTAGATATTGCTGCATAACACTGTGAGACTTTATCAAAATAAATTTCAGCCATAGTGGAATTATACCCTACCACAGTGCACAGGTTTTATTCTTGTACCATGAGGAATTGAAGGCAAAGTTCAACAACAGCATCCCAGGAATGCGAACGCACGACTGACCTTCAGTCGACCAATCCTAAAAATGAGGAATTTTTGCACAAAAAATGACGTACATTCATAAGAAAATGCATGAAAACACATTAAACAGGTTATTTTCCTCTGACATGATTTAAAAATACATCCTAGTTATAGTGAGGAGTATCAGTTGCTAAGTTAGACTAGTTTCTCTACATGTATTCACCGAGGTGACTGAAGGTGACTTGTTTTTGGGAATCGTTCATCTCTCTTATCCTGTAGTGCAGTTCTTCACAAAACCTTCGGTTGAATTCCAGTAAGAGGATCGACGACTACTTACCAGGAAGATGTGAATAATAAGATAAATTAAAATAAATGACATCAACTCTAAATCTATTCATAATCGTAACCCTAACCTTAATCCTGACCCTAATTACAACCCTCATCCTAATTATGACCCTGATCCTAACCCTAACCCCCCAATACTTAACGAGCTATTAACACATTGTCCAAACAGTACTTAAAAACGTGATCTGGGTGAAATTTGCTCCTAAGTTGGTGAGTAGCGTTAATGTTTCAGCTATGATAATGACAGGTGCCGTTAACCAATGGCTAGCATACATTCAAGGTCATTGGAGCGTTAGCACTCCTGGGACACTATTGTTGAACTTCGCCGAATTGAGTTTAACTTCTATAAAATCATATACTTTCCGAAAGAGAATGAGGTAGAGCATAGTGAGGTTTCATCTGGAGAGTAAATTTGTGTTCATTTTGAAAGTTGTCAGTCGCCTGTCTCCCAATATAGACGGTAAAAGTTTACACCTGTTGTGAGAGGATTCGTATTTGGCTGCCTAAAATTCATAAGTGGGTTTGGCTTCGAAATCATGATTCATTAGTTGATTATTGAGTTTCTTAGGCGTTAAACCGCATCCATTTTTCCGCCGGGGCTAGTTATCTCCAAAACCTTTTCTTTTCGCCTTCTTGTGGAGTTTTTTTTCCTTTTTTTTTTGAAACTAAGTGAATTTATGCAATTTAACGGGTTCTAATCTCATTGTGTACCTTATTTTGTAGCACTGCACTAAAAGCTATTGAAAAGCTTCCACCGTTTATCAAAGCCCAGTTGGACAGACAAATACCTTTTACTTCACAAGAAGATAATATTATAGCTCAGATCTCCTTCTTAGATGTATTTCCAGATGGTGTGCTTCGACAGCTTACTACTTATGATTTGGTAAGTGTGAGAGAGAAAGAGAGACAGAGGTTTGTCTCTTGCCTTATTTGTTATTGTTGCAGACATTTCAAATATGCTTCTACTTTTGTCAGGCTGTTCACGTGTAACCTTATTAGTTATCGCAGTGTTATTCAAAATCACCAAGACACACCCAGAGGTTTTGCTTTTTACAGCCAGTCGAAGAATAGATGCTTGTATACTTGAAAGGATTATCTGCGTGACTGACTGACTGACTAGTTTCAAATTTGCACAGATGTGCAGCAGTTCGAGTGGCCACATTCCTTACATGTACCACACAAAGCAAGAGAAAAGATAATAAACAGAGATATAAGGCAAAATGAATAGTAATAAGGAAGAATAATAGAGCTTTATTCGATATGATAAATCACAAAGACTGGATGCATCTCCGCCAGCCATTGAGATCGATTTTGAGCCATATCGTCGATTGTCTCAAGCAGTCTACACCTTACTACGTGGCTGACTGGCTAAAACTAACTGTTGTGGATTTCATTGACTGATGAAGCCATGTCCTCGTTTAATTACCACTAGCTAATTCTGTTCCAACCTGATCCATCCTATGCCACTTAGCTAACATTGCCCGTTTGTCGAGGAAGGCGATGGTTAGGCTAGGCATGCATAACACATGTCCTAACCATGTCAATCGATGTAACTTCACAACCTCGTCGATTGATTCCCCCCCCACATACCTAGCACTCCACCGACGCCTAACCTCAACATCGCCCACCTTCTTATACCACTTCACAGGGGAAATAGAACGTAGACACCTATGATCAAAGACAGCTAGCCAGGCTTTTCATGTCTTCCACTCTCAATGGCCATGTCTCGTTGACATCCATAAAGGAGGACTGATGAGTAGTACACACGCCGTTAGGTCGATAGCCAGCCGGATATCACGTCTACTAAACCAGAGATGTCGTAAACTGGTATATGCAAAACAAGCCTTCTGTATCAGTGCTGAGATTTCGTCACCCATCAACCCGTTGACGCTGGGGCTGATGCCACTTTCCAAATAAGTGAAGTGGTTAACGGTATTATCTGCCTATCGTATGGTTGATGTTTTGCATTTTTATTAGCAGGTGTCGCAGGGTCCAGTAAATGTTAGGATCATTCTCTTGTATCCTGCAACATCCGTATATCAGTAACGTAAGGAGTTTAATTTGGATTGCTAGATTTCATCATGAACTAACATCAGTCGTGGTTGCGTGCGTTGCTGAAGAGTCCTAAAATAGGACGAAACAGCTTTCCAGTGCTCTCTGGTTTTTTACAATGATCTTTCTTACTTAATGCTGGTTCTTAATAAAGTCTAACCATTGGGATTAAATGAGTTCATTCTCCCACAACTCCCATAATATAAACGTGAGGAGTGTTTGCAAACAAGCACCAACGTGTTCTACAATAAAGCGGACTTTTGTGAAGTATTCCTGTTCCCAGTAGGATATAAACCTTCAAGCTAGAGCATTAACGTTTGGTAACAGGGGGTTTAGGATGAGTTTGCTAGCCTCGTGTCCAGCATTCCCTCTTTACCAGTCTTATTATGTGGCTTAGCGAGGTAAAGGAGTGCGTCGGTGGCCGGGGATCGAACTCCGGACCACATGTGTGGTTGGCAAGCACTCTACCGCTGTGCCACCAACGCAGCAAAACTGAGTTGGTATCACCCAATAATTCTGAGATAACATTTTAAATTTGATCAATGTGTATGATTTATTAGGAAAATCACATTTTTCATCAGAATTTTCTTAAATGCTAAATTGTAGTAGTAATAGAGTAGTAGAATGCAGCCCACTCAGATAGTACTCAAACAACTACTGGTGTTAGCATATGTACGTCAATGAAGTAGAGTACTGTTGTGAATGTAAAAGGAGAGTGCGACAAATCAAATCCCTACCTGTTTCTTTCCATACAATTTAATGTTCACTAGCGACTAGCCTTATTCAGGTAGGCAGTTACCTGGGCTTTAGTGAGTAGTCGTGACCAGTGGGGTACAGCAGGCTGGGTGTGAGAGCAAATACTCTCCAATGGTGACATCGGCTAGTGGTTGCGCTATATCGTGAATTGGCATAAGCTGGAATTCATGGACTGGCCATTCGATTGGGTCCCAGTAGCTTAGCGGTGTACGAACTCGATTTGTTACGGGAAGGTCCTGGATTCGAACCATGGTGGTGGTGGGTGCGTACTATGAAGAGTCCCAAACTAGACTGACGAAATAGTCGGCTGTCCAGTACTCCCAGCTAGTGTTTTCCAATGGTTCTCTAACCGATGTCAGCTTATGATGAAATCTTGTAACCAATCAAATCAAATCCCTGCAAATCAATGTAACGTTCATTGTATTCATTCTAGTGTTAAACAACAGAGCGCAGAACTGTATTCCTCTTCGTGATACTACCCCGAGAATTTTTCGATCATTATGGAAGTAAATGAAATTTTACTTCAGTCTGTTGTATTGGATTACTTATTTCATTATTAAAGTTTTTTTTTTGTATCCTTGATTTTCACATTCTTTATAATAATGTTGTAAAAATTGTTTTGGTTTTTTGACTTATTCATTTTTTGTTGTTGTTGTTGTTGGTGCCTTTGTTGTTATTTTATTTTATTTAAATGCAGAAAGCAAACTTGGTACAATATGGCACCAAGAAAGATGCACAATGATAATGAAACAACATAGATATAAAGTAAAACAAATATAAGTAGAGAACGGATAAAGAACTTCATCTGGAAGGAAAACAGTCATACCTAACAAGTTCAAACAGTATTCGTCAACTATCATCGGGAAGGAAAGAAAGAAGAAAATTACAACATGTTCGCCATTTATTACAATTCTTGGCCATATCCGATAACGTTTCGAGCCATCGATTCGAGCTATCTCGCGAATCCCAACCAGGGAGTTGTGACGCACCAACCGATGCTAATCTAGCACAAACATCCTTCATCCCACGACACCACGTCATGCACTGACCACTCCTCCGCCTTTTCCATCCCGTCCCAGGGCTGGCTAGCGAACAAAGACCTGTACAGAAGCCTCTGGGATGACATTCGCAGCATATTCCCAAGCCACCGGAGCCGGTGTTTCCAGATGACGACACTCAATGAATGATGATCTCCACTGTGTTCAAACACACACCGCCGAACCTCAGAATTACTCACGCGATGATGCCATCGAAAGCAGGCGATTCTGCGGAGACAGCGATGATTGAACACGCAGAGACGCCGCACATCCTCAGCTCGGAGTGGACAGGTTTCACTGGCGTAGAGCAAGACAGCCCGCACCGAAGTATTGTATACCTGACGTTTAACAGCCAGGTTAACGTCGCGACGGCGCCATAGGTGACTGAAGTTGATGTATGCCACCTTAACCTTCATTATACAGTTGGAAATCTCATCCATCACCCCTCCGCCAGCACTCACACAACTACCCAGATACACAAACTTATCAACAACTTCAAGCGGTTCACTCGCAAGAGTGAGTGCAGGTACAAGCTCCTGCCAATCATGCAACAGTATTTTGCACTTAGACGGCGCAAAACACATACCATACTTATAGTATGGTATTGTCGTACTACTACTAAGCTTACGTTTCTGTAAATGACAAATTGATGTAAATGAACTAAGCAGGTATATTTTAAGAGTGCTGTATTCTGTGTGTAGTTTGTTTAAATAATAACCTGCTAATCATCATTCAGTCAATTATATGAAACTATAAGAAAGTAATATTTAACATTTTAGGTCAAACCACATGCGTTTTCATATTACACATCGCAAATAGTGAATTACTAGTAGGGTGTATACTTTTTTATATCGACACAATTTATTGATCACCGATAGTAGTAGATCTTCATTTAAATTCAAAAGTTAATATTTATCAATCATTTCAATCATACTACCTCTAATTTATCGTAGAATACTGTAAAATGAATACTATTCAGTCAGCCAGCACCAAGCAAAAGATTAGACACATGACACTAGTTACTGACTAGTGTTTGATCAGAATACCAACCAATGCAGTCCTACAGGAGGTCAGGGTACTTAAACAACTTTCCAATTTCGTTAATTTAATTCCATTATTCTTCTCATCTCCCGACTTGATTGATAGTAATATTTTCCACATTTCTGATATGAGTGATGAGTCATTCCTGTTACATGTGTTGGCTGTAGATTCTGATCCTGAACTTACTTATAGGACCAAGCTATCCATTGAGGGGGAAATTATTTTAGGTATTCAATTATGCCTCATGTCTTATTATTATTTTTTCCTTCACATTCCCAGTGGAACATAGGGCTTCAAGCTAAAGGCTTGAAGTTTCTGTAGCAGTGGTGATTATTTTTACAGGATGGGGTTGCTAGCCTCATGCCCAACCTTTCCCCTTCACCAGCTTTTACTTCTGGCTGAGTGAGGTTAAGGAGTGCCTTGTCGGCCGGGAATCGAACCCCGGACCATGTGCATCGTCGTCGAGCGTTCTAACCGCTATGCCGCCGGCGCACTCATATACAAGGTAAGAAAGCTTTATTGTTGGCGTGAATCACCTTATAAAACAATATCAGAATACCTCTACTAGGAAAAAATGGAATTCCAATACAGCTATCGATCAAATTAAAGTCGTAGAGGGGGGCGACAACAATTATCTTTCATCACAGTGAACTAAGCTTACCTGCCTCACGTCTACTATCTTTAAATTGCAAGACAAAATATGTAGGCGAAATGAAAGCGTAGTAATGGGATCACTGAAATCCCCAATCGTAGCAGATATCTTTATGGACAGCTGGGGAAATTTTTCTCTTAATACATTTAATCCTACTCTGAAAACATGGTGGATATATGTGGATGACACTTTTGCAGTGTTAATAATAGAACGTATCTCTAGTTTCTTCACACATATAAACTCAGTAGTAGTAGTAGTAGTAGTAGAAGGGGGGGTGGTGAAATAAAATTCACATTTTAATCAGAAAACGAACAGGGAGAATTAGCTATATTAGATTGTAAAATAAAACAAACGAAAGAAGGTAAACTGTACAGTTGTGTGTATAGGAAGCCAACGCATTCTAATAGATATTTAGACTTTAATTCATCCTATGCGTTATCTGTGAAGGTAGATTTAGTTAAATGTCTAACAAAGTGACCAGTAACACTAAGTGGTACAACAAAAAACCCAAATGATGTAATAAAACAGACAGGAGAAGAGTCGGTTTTAAATGTCTATCTTATAAGATTAATTAAGATCAAAAAAGGTCAAAAGCAAAATAAAAACAATAGGTAAACTAACAATGATAACATGAATATAGAAGAGTATAAGGCAATTCCAGTTTTACTATATAAGTAGGGGACATGTGCAACCCTCCCTACGTAGGATTCCTTATGAAACCGGAATTAGGGTGGCATTTAAACCTACAAATTCACCTAGAGACAAGTTCTGTAGGCTAAAGTACCATGTGGGTTGATCCAATTAGACAGAATAATTTAATATATTTAACGAAATACCTTGCAATGACTGTGAGTGTGATCAACCACATTTGGTCACTCAAACTAGTAGATCAGGAGTATTGAGATTTCCTGTCAGAACATAAAATTTAGCTAAGGTTAGAATGACTCACCCCACGAGGATAAGTGTTATAACTGTAGGGAATTAGATGAAGACGTTTTCACCTTATTCTGTCTGCGCCTGAACTAATCTGCCTATCTCCTTGTCGTACCTTCCGACTTAGCAAAGCACGCAAATATCAAAAGACAAAGGCTGGACTGTGACTGTGTATTGAAGTGCAACAACGATAAAGAAAGCCATGGTATTTATACATTTTACAACAATATGGACAGCTAACAGCATTTGAAATAATTGACCTTGATAGCCAATAACAAAGTGTGTGAGAAATGATCATATGCCATATGTGCGACATTGACAGTCAGTAACAAAATGTGTGGGAATGGTAATATACCATATATACAAAATTAACAGTCACTACCAAAATGCGTGAGAATGGTAATATACAAAATTAGCAGTCAATACCAAAATGCGTGAGAATGATAACATACCATCTATGCAAGTTTAAACAGTCAATACCAAAATATGTGGGATCCTATCAATAAGTAATTTAGAAGAAAGCTCAGCATTGCAGTGCACTACATGCATTAACACACAACAACACAATAAGGTAGGATAGGGTTAAGATTCTGTGAAGTAATATAGACATGTAAAGAGAAAGGTTGATTACTGAGACTTTGTTCATCAAATCTTCACGAAACATATGCAATAAGAGGGGAACCAAATATGCAAAACATTACCACCAATCAAGTCGAGAAATGAGAAGTAACGGAATAATATAAACGAAGCAAGCAAGTTGTAATGAGTACCTTGCTATGATTATGAGCAGTGATAGATTGCACTGGAAGCGTTGTCATCAGTAAATATGACTGCCTAGAACTGTGAGAGTTTATTAAAGATAAATTTTCTTCATAATTGAATTATACTCTGCCACGGTTCCCAAGTTCTATTCTTACATGAGCAGCATTTCTGATTATCCACCCAAGGTAGATGTACACAGTGGAGTTTTGCTGGTGAGTTTTGCGTTTATACACGAATATTTTATTTACCCAGAGGTTAAAGTCTTATTGAAGTCGTGGAGGATTTCATCATGAGCTGACATCAGTTAGAGAACCACTGGAAAACCTGGGAGTACTGGACAGCTGTTTCGTTCAACTGGTTTGGGACTCTTCAGCAGTATGCACCCACCGCTACGGTTCGAACCCAGGACCTTCTGGTTACAAGGCTTGCGAGCTCGTAGACTATTGAGCCATTGGGACCCGATCCAATAATCCTTGATGCTCACTAGCGACTGGCCTTATTCAGACAGTTAACCTGGGGTTCTAGCGGGAAGCCGTGACCAGTAGGATACAGCAGGTTGAGGATGAGGCAGTAACTCATCGAAGAAGACATTGCGAAATGGTTGCGCTATGTTGTGAATTGGCAGAAGTTAGTATTCATTTACTGGCCATTGGATTGAGTCCTAGTGGCTTAATGGTCTATAAGCTCACTGGTCTTGTAACCAGAAGGTCGTTGGTTTGAACCCTAGGGTGAGTGCCTACTGTTGAAGAGTCCCAAACTAGTTGGATGAAACAGCTCTCCAGTAATCTCAGCTGGTTTTCCAGTGGTTGTCTAACTGATGTCTGCTCATGATGAAATCCTCTATGCAACCAAACAAAATCCCTACAAAACCAATATCTTATTGAAGTATTTTCTAGGTTGCATATCTAACTAAAATTCTCATCTTCCAATCTTCCCATAAACTTCTTCAGCACTGATTACTTTCTATCTCCTTGTATTAATTTTAGAATCCGTCAATATTTACAGAGGTTCTACGTAAATATCCATCAGTTTTCTATATTCGACGAGATGCCTTTGATTTATACCGTCAATGGTGTCGTTTTTACAGCTGTCATTGTATTAGACCAGATGAAGAAAAAATGCAAACAAAAACTGAAGAAATAAGCTCATTTCTGGTGAATCCTTCTCCGTCATCTTCGTCAACAACAACAACAACAACGAATCGAGACATCACATTGATTCCGAAAGACATCAGTTTATCCACTTCTATAGCCCTAGGTGAAGATCCGGAAAGTTTTTCTGATACTGAATTGCTGTTAGAAGAAACAGTGGCAAATGCTCTGACAGCTGGAATCAGCAAACTCACTGAACAGTCTACAGTAGCACGGCGACAACGTATGTTGAATCAAACGTCTTATCATGGTTTTCAAGGTCTTGTGACACAAACTATCTTAGAAGCATTGATCAAGCAATCTTTATCTAACCAGTCAAGTGATTCCGGAGTCATACAGTCTAGTCCAATATCGGTATCCTCTCAGTATTCCTCGTTGACTTCAAGTGGATCACGTTCTACAGATTTAAAATCATCATCATCCCCATTTGATCAGAGTTGTTCAGTGCCACAAGAGTCGAGTAAATCACATTCATCTTATATCCGCCAGTCATCTGTACCTTTTATTTCAAATGAACAAGAATTCAATCTCAATGTAAGTTGTTTTTCTTTTGGTGTTCTATTTTAATAAATGTGAAATAATTATTCCATATTATTTTTGTTTATTAGATATATTTATTTTATTTAAACGCAGAAAAAACTTGGTAGAATATGGCACCAAGAAAGATGCGTTGTGTGAGGGCTGAGATACTGCCCGGGCGCCCAGACCGAAGCAAGTGGTTTTCTAAAGGGACCACCTCCCCCGAGCCTTTGACTTGGAGTCTAATCCGCAAGATAGCGGAGCAGTGTCAGGAGCTGCATTCCCATGGTTTCCGGTGACTCATATGGGTTCATACGCCATTTGATCCAACTGGATTCTGGAGCCCATGTACCCAATGGTAATTGCTTTTAGTTTAACGGCTATCCAAACAACCTTCCTGACATGGTAAGACTTGCAGGGATATAAGTCCCAGTCAGTTTAGCTTGTTGGGTCATTACGGTATTCAAGCCCGACCACCACGGCAAGGTAGCAGTTGTCGCCCGGGCTATATTACACAGTGAGTGAAACAGTATTATTATTATTTACTGGATGATAAAGTTTTGAACACAATTTATGATTTTTCATGATCATACTACATCATTTATAATCACACAACTTCGAAACTTCACTTTTATAGTTTTCTTTATTCTTTCCTATTTATCGTCGTAGGGGTAGTAGAATTTTCCAGATGTCCAGCTGGACAAGTGTTTAATCATTTCTGTTACACGTATTTGCTGTTGATTCGATAAATAAAGCTTCCGTTGATTCCAGTCTCTCCCTCCACCCTTTTACATTAGATTTTAAAACTGTCATCTTATCCCATCCTATTGTATGGTTTTGTGTAAATGCATGTATTGAGTGGCATAGCTGAACTATCCATTAGATTTCTTATCTTATTCGGGTCAACTAATCTAGATTTTGCCAGGTTTTTATGCTCGGCTAGTCTAACTGACTGACCCTGCTCTACTACTTTGACCTATGTATTTGACCTGACAATCATTCCAGCATGACATTAGATAAACTAAATTTTGTTTAATTTGTGGATGGTGACTATCAGTGGAATCCAGGATGTGAAGTGGTCTAGTAGATAACGCTTTGGCGTTTGAAACTAAGGGCACTGGGTTCGAGCCTCGGTGGGGACATCATCACTCACTGAGAAATGCAGGTACATCCAGATGACGAGTCCCAAATAGGACGAAATGCGCGTTATCCTGGATTCCACTGCTAGTCACCATCCACAAATTAAATTCTAATTAAATGCCCAGATATCGTTGAAGCATCTGCACAAGAAGCCGACATGTCAACCTGAGACCGAGCACTTCAGTCCAGTCAATCGACGGGAAAATCTCAAATTCAATTAAATTTTGTTTCATTGGCTCCACAAGAACCTTTAACTGAAAAAGCTTGTTTCTAATTGAGTTTGTGGGTGATTGAATGCCACTATTATTCCTGCATTTTTAAGAATTTTCCGTAAGGTGGTTTCCGAGGTTCCTTCTTTATATGGAAGTACTAGTGATGATTTATATTCCCTATTGTCGGTATCGTCATTATCCTGTTCATGTTTGACATGCATATCGTCATTATTATTATTATCACTATCACTATTATTATTTATTTTCACATTTTCCTGCATACTTCCTGATTACTTTATCACAATAATTACTTCGTTTCAAAGCTTCTCTTCTGTGCGTCACTTCCTGTCTTAGAAAATCTTTGGTGCTACTTAGTTTTCCTGCCCTAGTACCTAAACATTGCACCTATCCTGTTTTTCAAAAGAATGGATACTGAACAACGAGTAATCTTTTCGATAACATCAATATCAGGCTCTACAGTTATATATGCATTATAATGAATGAATGAATTAGTGTTATCAACAACATTATTGTTGTTTAAATAACATCAAATCAATAATAGTAATAATTATACTATCAATAGATTACAGTTCAATAGCTTCAACATAAAATAAGCTGAATGTCAGAAATATTAGGAAGGATAATATTACAAATTCATGCATTTATAGTCTCTACTGAAGGCCGGCCAGGGCAGTAGTAGTGGCTGGCTGGACTTGCTTCTTTTGAACAGAGAGCACTGGTTGTTTGAGGTGAATTGCAATAGCCTCTGGTGTTTGGAGCATGCGGGGTGCTTCGATGATTTTGGAAATTTATTAGGCACCCGGTAGATGATGATAGAGAAGGATTCTTCCACGCTGGCTGTCTTTGTGGCCGGTTTGCACCAGATAGTCCAATGTTGAACTGTTAATGGTTTTAACTACACCTTTACTTAACCATGGTGGGAGCAGTTCTCGAGTGAGCACGAAAAATCAAGTTCTTAGAGCAACTGCCGATATAACTCGCTTCACAAGCTCAGTTGAATTGGTAGATACAATTTGAGGTGGCTAGTCTAGGTCCTTCATCTTTCAGTCGAGGAATCACCATCGGTCGTGTAGAGAATAAGACGTGTAGTTCGCCAGCATTAAAAGTTCTTTGAACTGATCCTATTTTTACTGACATAGGATAGGATGATCAGAATTCAAAATATCTGTTTGAATGTGGGGGTTTCCTGTAAGCATCATACACTAGGATGGGATAAGATGATAGTTTTAAAATTTAATGTGACACGATGGAGGGACAGATTGATTACAACGGAAGCTTTGTTTTTCGAATCAACAGCAAATACGTGTGATAGGAATGATTGAACACTTGTCCAGCTGGACATCTGGGAAATTCTACTACCCCTACGACGACAAATAGGAGAGAACAAAGAAAACTATCGAACTCAAGTTTCAAAGTTGTGTGATTATAACTGATGCGGTATGATCATGAACAATCATAAATTATTGATTTAAGTATAAAACTTGGGCACTGTGGTAGAGTATAACTCCATTATAGATAAGATTTTATTTTGGTAAATCACACAGTGGTGTTATACAGTAATATTAACTGATGACCACTTTTCGAGAACAAATTATTCCCACTCATAATCATGTCAAGTCGCTCACACAACTTTCTACTTCATTGTTTAGACATTTGAATAAAAATCAATATAGGATAATGTACATTCAGAGATAATGATGTCAGTGTTATTCATCAAATACAATCAAATGGGAAATAACACGAGCGTTTTTATAGTCATAATAGGTAACTTGTTAGAATGTTAAGGATGTACGTGAATTGAAATAGAACACTCTCCCATCACCCTATTGTGTGATTGTGTGTTAATGCATGCAGTGCAGTTAGTATTACTGTATAATATACTGTGTGATATATCAAAATAAAGTCTTATCTATAATGGAATCATAAATTTTGTGTGAAACTTTGTCATCTAGTAAATAATACTGTTTCACTCACTGTGTGATATATCTAATATGCAAATTAATATGGAATTACATACTGTGGTGAGAGCAGCCTGCTAGCCAATTGGTTGATCAATGTCTAGGTCACTAATATGGGCCGTGAGAAAAAATGAACAAAGCTGTTTCAACAACCAATCACAGCAAACTTAAACGTGGGCAAATATGATTCGCAGATAGATGGCTCCACTTTCCGAGGAACTCGAAAACAACCAATCAGAAGACTGCGTTTGTCTACTTGACTAGGCTGTAATAATGTATGTGAAATTTATATAAATACGTGTTGATTTCCGTAATAAAACGACCTGTTGCCTGGCCCTTGTCTTCTGTTGTTACAATACTACCACAGTGCCTAAGTCTTATACATATTATTAAAAGAATTGTTTTAATGAACATCTTTTTTAACTGCAGAAGGGAGGATATTATCCAATATTATTGAAAACATTTATTTCTCGATACGAATTTAAAACAAGCAATAAAGCAGGTTAATAAAGCAGGATTTAATGAATTTATCAAATTTCGGTAGAACTCGTCAGCTGAATGCTCTACATACACGGATTTATATATATACTTTTGAAATTACATCGGGAGATATAAGACTTATAAGTAAAAAAAAAAGTAAATTGAATTAGTCATGCAGAAAGACAGGTGCGAATGTTTTCCAGGTCATGTTCAAATAGATAAGGGGGGAGAGATTGTGAGAGATCAGAATTAAGATAAAATGTAGTACGCTTGAAATACATCACTTAGATAAACAATTAGTCATTAGAGAATATAACAAGAATTGCAAACAGAGTAATATCAGTAGTAAGAGTTGTAATAATAATAATAGTGTTGAAGTGGGTTAAGATAATGCTACTGATAAAGGATAGTTCTAAATGAATCAAGAATGATAATAAGAGGTAGAATAATAAGTTAGGCGTATTACCACGATAGATTCAGAGTCACGACCATCTCCTTTTGTACACAGAGACCTGGTTTATCAACTCGAATTCCACAAGCCTCTGCAACTGCAAGCATCTTCCTGTTCCTTTGTCTGCTGACAATAACAGTGAATGACTTGACAGCGTCAATATCATGTCCATTGTCCACAAGATGTTTTGTTTTTGAGGATTTTGGCACTTTCCACTCAGCTGACTAATTCAATGTAGTTTATTTACTTATCAGTCATATTTCTCCCAATTTAATTTCAGAAGTACATGTATATCCGTGTATGTAGAGTATTCAGTGACGAGTCCTACCGAAATTTGATGAATTCATTAAATCCTGCTTTATTAACTTGCTTTATTGCTTGTTTTAAATATAATTACTGTTTTCATAATGCTGCATGCTGTTGATGTCACTAGTTTGATATCATTCGTGCTTGCTAACTAGATTGAAGTGACTTTAACTTTGGGTAGGTGTTTTGCTCTTTTGCGGCCGAATTCATCAGTGATGTTCACTGCAATCTGACCAACAAGCACTACTGATTGACGTGAATAGTATTCAACTACTTATATATATATATATATATATATATATATATATATATATATATATATAGCGTCATCCATTTACACTTGCTTTCTTGGTCTCCATTTATGATATCGAGCAGTTCATATACCTATAATATGAATAATTTCCGTCTCCCAAGGAAACAGTGGTGACGAATTGTGACTTAATTTGCAAATTGTTCATTTGATAGTTGTTATGTAGTAAGTGCTACTTATAATCACATACAAGTAATATATCAGCAAACAAATTCAGAAAAGTAACAACAACAAAATAAATCAAAGTGTGTGAATAACAACAATGTTTGAAAAGTTTTAGATAATATTTCGTAATTGGCAGGATTGACAATTAATTGGTTTAGCGATGAATAATCCTTTGAAAGTAATTGATAGGAAGTAAGAGAACAAAGGGTTGGTATTAGATGGTTTGAGGCAATAGGCAGGAAGCCCTACAACTACGTTTCATGCTAGTTGGCACCCACCTCCCCCATCAGCAAGGAGTATCTGCAATCTTGGAGGAACTCATGTCCCCTGTGAAAACCCCAGCCAAACAGCAGTCTACACCTCCCTACGTGTCTGGCTGGCTTGAAATAACTTGTAGATTTCATTGACTGATGAAGCCATGCTTTCGGTTGATCACCACTAGTTGTTTTCCAACCTTATCCATCCTATATCAGTTAGGTAACACTGCCCGTCGTTTGAGAAAGGCGATGGCTAGTTCAGGCATGCGCAACACGTGTCCTAATCATCTCAATCGGAGTAACTTCGTAACCTCATCGATTGGTTTACCCTGCAACCTACCTAGCACTCGATCGATGCCTCACCTCAATATTACTCACACTGTTATACCATATAACAAGGGAGATAGAATGCGGACACCTATGATAAAAGACAGCTAGCCAGCCTTTTCATGTCTTCCACTTTCAATGGCCATGTCAGCCATAAAGAGGGACGGAGTGGACTGCTGGGTAGTACACACGCCCTTTGGTCAACAGCCTGCTGGATATCACGTCTACTAAGCCAGAGATGTAAACTGGCATATGCGAAACGAGCCTTGTGTATCCGTGCTAAAATCCGTATTGTGCTAGTTTTTTTTCTTACGTATTAGGTTTCTTTGTCTTCCTTTCATGTTTTCTATATTGTTCCTTAAGAATCGTTCACTCCTCGTCTTCGCCACTGGACGAATCTCTCCGCTATTTGATATTCTTTCAGATGATATGTATATATATATATATATATATATATATATATCTGCATCTTTATACTATTTATAAATGTCGTTTTCATATTGTTTGCAATTTTACGTATATTTTCTACATAATTATACAGCGTCGACTTGAACTCTATCGACGTCGTGGACGACTTTGGGCACGTTTACGTAGAACGAAAGAAGAAGCCAGGCGTTGGACACATTTAGTTGAAACATGTATCACCAATGGATTGGAGATAATGAATCCACAACCAGAATATCCAGTTTTAGCAACTCTTACAGGATCTAGGACAAAATATTTAATCAAAGAGAAAAAGGTTTGAATTTTTTTTTTTGGAATTTTTAAGACATTCGTGTTTGGTGTTTTTTTTTAAAGAACCATTGAGACCAAAGAATCAGTCAGTTTATTATGCTTGCAACTCTTTATCAATGGCTACCTACGTCTCCATAATGGTCTGAATGAGATAGAAAAAGCAAAATTTGAGAGGAAAGTGTAATATTTATCATCAACATTTTTCCACTCACATGTCTTGTTTCTAATTTTAACAACGACAATTTGATATTCTCAAAGGATATAACCTCGACTTGTTGGAAATTTATAGGCTTTTTTGTATTCTATAAAAACTGAACTACGTCTTCGTCTTAACAGAATGTCTGAGTATTCTCGGTTCTGTTGTAGTCTTGAATGCATTTTGCACGCCAGCCACATTATTATCAATAATAATAATTATTATTATATCCTTTAATTCCTGGAGGAACATAGGGCTTCAGCCGCGCGTCTCCATTGCCTTTGGTTTTCCGCCAACTTTTTCACCCCGCTCCAATTCTACCCACATGCTTTCATCGCCTCCTCACATGACCTCCTCCTCCATGTCACCCTCCCACTGACGACCAACTCGCCGCTTCCCCTTCGAGTTCCACTCGAGGGTTTGCTTAGTGATGGCACTTGATGGTTTGTTTTCTCAGAGTATGGCCTCCAGTCCATCTCCATTTTTTCCTGCCTATTTGTTTCACAATCGGTTCCTGGTTGGTTCGCTCCAAGAGATCTGTGTTGCTGATCTTTTCTTGCCGGCCATCTGATCTTGAGCGGAGTATTGAGTGAAGACAACTGTTAATGAAGGTGTGAAGTTTGTTTGAGATGCTCTTTATGACTCGCCAAGTCTCTGATTCGTACAGTAAGTAGCACTGACTTCACATTGGAGTTGAAAACCCGTGTCTTATTTTTGATTCTGAGTGCTGTTGACCTCCACACAGACTTAAGAGTAATGAATGCTTAATAATAATAATAATTTGCTTTATTCCAGAAACAGTACTAGTGGTACAGTGTGGAATTTTCAGCACATATCTACAATATTGCATCTAATTTCATTGCACATTTAAAAGGAGTATTTCAAAAAAAATAAATATAAAAAAACAAACAAAATACCAAAAAAAATGCACAAAAATGCCAAGAAGTAGAAAGGAAAATAAAAAACAATCATAAATAATATCTCAGTATTGGGTAGTGGAAGCTATGATATGTGTATGCGTGGTGAACAGTAACAGCTATAATCATACAAGAAGTTATGAAATGATATTTAAGAATGTTTATCGCCAAGATGATCAGTTAATTTGATTGAACATCACTAAACAGTCATAAAATAAACATTTCAGGTTTTTTTTATTGTCAGCTCTAATGCGGTGTTTGTAGTGGTAGTGTGAGTTATCATGCATGATGCAAAAATTTTAGGATGGTGATAACGGCGTTCACAACCAAAATTGTCAGTTTAATATTGCCGAACAAAACTAATATTACATGATGGTTAATGACAGGACAATTATTTTAATACTCATAGTGATATTATAGTCGGACCCAGTAGATACACAAAAGAAGGAATAGAATAAAGAATAAAAAAAGTAAGCCAATGATAATAATTTTAGGTAGCTAAGTATGTTTAAGAAGGTTGTTCACTATAGAATGTAAATAAGAGAGAATAAGGGAGAAATAAAAGGGCCAAAATTATGTTATTAACAACAAAGCAAGTCATAGGTTTCGCGCTTAACATTGTCTCTGTCACCTAGAGGACACCAGCCAAATATGTTATCGTTGAGTTCCTATACTTGGTTATACGAGCATATATTATTTTATACTAATTTCTGGTTGGTTCTACCTGATGAGATGCAAGGAGAGAGTTGGGAATAGAGGGGGTGTTGGGGAGGGTCGGAGAGTATGGTTTTAGACCATTTTTCGCATGTATTCAGATGCCTTTCTACTAATGTAGTCACGAGGTGACTTAATTTTATACCACTAGTCCTACTAAAAGTTGCGGCCTGTTTGACACCTGGCCTACCTTTCCGTGCATCTGCATATTGCATCTAATACTTTATTCGATCTGTAAGTCTCAGTCTAAGGCAGATTAGATTGGGTAGCCAAAAAAAACAAACAAAGAAAAACAAAAATGGTTGCTGAGTAGTCTGTGTGAAACTGCCAAATTGACTTATTTCGGAAGTGATGCATGGTTACACCCTAGTCCCGTAACCAAGATAGTCTGATTTAAATCTTAGTCACCCTTCCTGTATAAATAAATTGGTCTTCCAATAAATAACTGTTTCAAATAGCCTATTTAGTAAATTGAGGAAGTACTTCATTTCTACATAATATGACTCATGCATTCCGTCTTTTAGTTCTTTTATCGTTTATAATGTGAAAAAAATATAGAACCTTCATCACTTCAATGCTAGAGAATTTGGTATCACACTGGTCTGTTTACGATATTGATTCGATGGGATTATTGAGGGAGGACAATTTCTGCCTCAAATTCCTTTCTTTATCATTTTGTGTTGTGTGAGATTATTGGTGATATTCCCTTGGATTCCGAGTGGAACATGGTGGGCCTCAACAACACATCTTCACTTTGAGGTTCTTTTCAGCAGGCCACACGATTTTCTATAATATCTGGTCTCATCCCTATCACACGATCTCCTCCATGTGTGTCACCCTCGGATCAACGCCTGACTCATTTCCCACTCGTTTTCCACTCGAGCGATGTCACCTTTCAGTCTTCTAAGTAGCGTGTACTTGATCCATTCCCATTCTCTTCGGGATATTTTCATAGCAATAGGATGTCGTGTTGTTTCGTTCCATGAGTTTTTTTGGCTAAATCTTTCTGACCGACCATCTTATCTTCATTATAAAAAACCAGCGAAGTTGGCAGCTGTTGATAGAAGTCTGCAGCAGGCTGCTGGAAATCCCCTTGCTTAACGCACTAAGAAACGGCTTAATATTGATGTTGGAAATGTGAATTTTAGAAAACAGAAAGATTGAGCGAAGAAATATTTACAATTCAATTAGATCCTCATCTCTGGCTCTACTCTAATATACACGTATAGCATTTTCATTATTACAATACACAACAGTTTACCAATCATGAAGTGGCACTGATATGTTTGTTAACAATAATTAGTGTCAAGGGGACAAACAAGATCTATTCGTAGCTCTATTGTAGCACACCTTGTAGATAGTTAGCATAAGGTTGATGTTAATACTGCATTTAAAATTATTTATCGCATTCCTACTAATCTTAATTTTGCTCTACGAGTTCGTCTTCTACAGACAGCTGAAGCAATAGGAATCCACCTGTGGAAGAAGCCAAACCTGTGTATTCAGAGGAAATCTGTACAGCCACTTTCCTTACCTTCCTTGGCCATCGTTACATGAATGTATAAACAGGACTACTTCGCCTCCCTCCCCCTAAACATTTAAAATTATAAAAATTATAATTGTCCAAATTATTTTACTTTTATTTATTTTGACCACTTCATCTTTAATCAAGTGTTATCCTTGTAAAATTAAATTAATTTATTCTAACCATTTCTACCTTTTAACTGTGTATTGATTTTCTTCGTTAACTATCACCCAATTGACATTTTGACACTGACTAATTATTGTTAACAAACATATCAGTGCCACTTGATGATTGGTAAACTGTTGTGTATTGTAATAATGAAAATGCTATACGTGTATATTAGAGTAGAGCCAGAGATGAGGATCTAATTGAATTGTAAATATTTCTTTGCTCATTCTTTCTGTTTTCTAAATGTCTAAATGGGGATTTTTTCTCTAATGTGAATTTTGTCTTCCACACTCTCATCTCTTATCACGATAAGTTGATTATCACCGTAGAGTCTTTTGCAAATGCGATAAAACTAGTGCTTAGAATCTTTTCTTTTCTAGTGCACTAAATATCAGTCTTTAAAGATTATGAGTAGTTATCACTCTATTTTGCTAACCTTAGTCAGCTGTAATCGTTTTCAAGATACTCTACCATAGATATGCATTACCGAGGTGTTTTAAACTTCATAGGGATTCAAGCCCTACTCTGTGTATTTATTCAAGTACAGGTTTTTAAGGATTTTGTTCGTTTAGTTGGAGGATTTCATCATGAGCCGACACCGGTTAGAGAACCATTGGAAAGCCTATAGGGAGTACTGGGTAACTGTTTCGTCCGCCTAGTTTGGGACTCTTGAGCAGCATGCACCCGCTGCAAGGGTTCCAACCCAGGATTTTCTGGTTACAAGGTCAGCGAGCTAGTAGATGATTAAGCCACAGGGGCCCGATCCGATGCGCCCAGTCCCTGAATTTTAACTTCTACCAAAAATTCACGACATAGCGCGACCACTAACCAATGTCGTCGTCGGATATTTGCCCTCACACGCAACCTGCTGCACCCTACTGGTCATGACTTTCCACTAGAACCCCAGGGTAACTACCTACCTGAATAGGGTCAGTCGCCAGTGAGTATCTCATCGATATTCAAGTATTGATTTGTAGGGATTTAATTGATTGGTTACAGGATTTCATCATGAGCTGGCATTGGTTAGAGAACCATTGGAAAACCTGGGAGTACTGGACAGCTGTTTCCTCCTAGTTCGGGACTCTCTGTATTTACTATCAGTCTGCGATTAAACGAACATCACTTTGCAACCGAGATCTATATTATTTATTTGTTTATTTATTATTTACTTATTGTTGTTGTTGTGTACATTCATTATCGACAGATTGTTTGTTTTTTTCTCTCAGATCTAATATTTTGATTTTTACTTCACTATTTTATCATTATTATTATTAGGTTATATTTGGTCGTAGTTCGTTGTTTTATCAACCGTATATTGATTTATCATATGAAGGTGATAGCGCACGTGTATCACGTTGTCATGGTCAAATACGCTTGGACAATGATGGAATATTTTGGTTAGCTAATTTTTCATCACATGCTGTTTATGTTGATGGTAATCCTATACTAACTGGTGAGTGATTTCACTTAAACGCTTTATGGTTGTTGTTTTCTTTTCTGTTTTTTTCATTTTCATGAATTCACAAGAGTGTTGAACAATCAAGTTATTTATCCCCTATTTCATCCGGTTATATAAGTGTCATCCTTCTCTTAATTTATTATTATTATTTCCTTTAATTCCTAGAGGAACATAGGACTTCAGCTGCGCGTCTCCATTGCGTTCGGTTCTCTCCCAACGTTTTCACCCGGCTCCAAGTCTGCCCACATGCTTTCATCGCCTCCCCACATGACCTCCTCTAAGTCACCCTTGGATTGACGACCAACTCGCCGCTTCCTTTCCGGGCTCCACTCGGCGGCTTGTTTAGTGATGCCACTTGGTAGTTCCCTCAGAGTATGGCCAATCCACCTCCATATCTTCCTGCTTATTTGTTGCACAATCGGTTCCTTCTGGGTTGGTTCGCTCCCAGAGATTTCTGTTGCTAATCTTTTCTGGCCATCTGATCTTGAGTACCGAGTGAAGACAACTGTTAATGAAGGTCTGTAGTTTGTTTGAGATGCTCTTTATGACGCGCTGGCCAAGTCTCTGATCCGTATAGTGAGTAGCACTGACTTCACATTGGAGTTGAAAATCCGGATCTTATTTTTGATTCTGAGTGCTGTTGACCTCCATACAGAGTTGAGAGTAATGAAAGCTTGTCTTGCTTTTCCAATTCTTGCTTTGATATCCTCGTCAGTTCCGCCTGTAGTTGAAACGATGCTGCACAAGTCTGCAGGTTAAGGAGGTTATTTCTTTCAGAATTTCTATTCTGATTAGATGATAATTTTTGCGATGAGATTTAGGCTTTTTAGTGTGTTTGTTTTAGTGCTAAAATATGGGTTTTTGTTTCAGGGACAGCTAGAACGTCTGCTTGCTACCCATGCCTGTGATCTGGACTCGATTATCGATCGATGCATTCCTAAACCTTGCCTCTTAGCCGGGAGTAAATTCGTTAAATACAGAAAGTGTTTTCTAACCCCAACCCATGGAAATAACATCTGTCTGTTTTTGACATAGAACTTTGCACTGATGTACAGCAGTTCAAGTCACCACACTCCATGTAGCACACAAAGCAAGAGAAGTAAGTAGAAGAAATGCATAATAGAGACAGTAGACAGAGATATGAGACAAAGGAATAGTATTATAAGTCACAAGGAGTGGATGCATCTGCACCAGCCATTGAGAACGAGTTTTAGCCATATCGGCAATTATCTTCAGCCTTCATTGGTTTTTACCATCCCGAGGACCCTAACCAGACAGCAGTCTACACCTTCCTACGTGGTTTAAACTAACTGTTGTGGATTTCATTGACTAATGAAGCCATGTTTTGGTTTGACCGCCGCTATCTCCTTTCCGGCCTGACCCTATGTCAGCTAACAGGAAATAACATCAGTGCTACCGAGACTTCCGAGGTTGAAGCCCTAATTCTCACTAAGAAACCAATGGAATGCTAAAAAGTTCTACCATTGATCATTGTGTGTCAGGGTTTAATAATATTTTCTCATTAGGATGTAATTCCATAATTAGATTACTAAATCTGATATAACACTCTGTCCATTGGATGACAGTCTAGGGGAGATGGCTAAACCCTGATTCCAAACCTCCAACGACTGGCGTATGAAGCTCACTGGAGCTCACCGGCAGACGTATGGACAAAGGGCTTGTTGGATGTCCTGGATGTCTGGCCCCATTCAAAAAGGCGTATGAACCGAACTCCGGTCACCGGCTTCCAATGGATAGTGGACTCCTTACTCCACTCCTACTGCCTTGTAGGTCACACTTGGCTGTGTAAAGGCTAGAGCTGCACTCTCAAACAAAAGGCCGAGCGATGCTGGGGACATCACTCGTACCAAATTCCCATGAAACTTCATGAACTCTCTTACAAATTGTCGCACCTGGGCAGCGATGATTCGAGACGTTCATGAAGCCGGCTCATCCTCCCGTAGGAGATAGCCGAAGTAAATCAAATCAGTCAATACATTATCAACTCTCACGACTGTCACAGACAGAAGTACAATTACAAAAAAACAAAATAATTGAGCAAAGAATATCCTTTTTGATAATTTCCTCGTCTGGCTCTACAATTATATATACATAGAATATTCTAGAATAGTAGTCAATAACAAAATTAGTGTTTTTTTTAGATAATATCGATTTATTAAGTAAGATGAATGGAATTACAGTTCATGGAAGATGCATAAATTATAATAATAGTAAAGATATAATAGCAAATAAAATATTAACGAAATTTCCACAACAAATTGACGATCATTAAAACCTAGATGGCCAAGGTAAAGGCAATGGCTGAACCATCCAACTTCTTTTGGACAGTTAAATTAGACCTCTTAGTGTGGATCCCAATGGCTAGTCTCAGAAATATTTAGTGAACGAACTCTTAAAGTGAAGTTAGGATTTCTTGGTATGCGTTAAATGACTTTGAAAGCCGCCTCGTTGACATCAATCAATCTTGTGTTCTGTATACACAAAATGAGTGAGATAGAATAGCGCTATGTGAATAGATTTCGTTTGTCCTTTACTTAACCAACATCGTAGGGCGTGATGTTCGGAAATCCGACGAGAAACAACTGACAAATCATGGCACTTTTTACCATTTCACGTTTAAAAAGTGGAATCATTCTTAAATGTCATCGTTTACATATTCCGATTGCGCCAGACAAGGTGAAAGCAACTGGAGGAAAAACAGTTTAGTAGACGTTGTTTAGGAGAAGAACTCCACAGGATTACAGCCGGTTATTGATACTGTGTGTCATTGCGTGTTATATAAAAATAAACTTTTCTAATATGGAGTTATATTTTACTATAATGCCGAAATTCTCATTAGGGGATAGTTATTAATATTCAGTTTATTTTGTCGTTTGTAAATTCATCAGATGGCAGCTATGTTTTTGCCTTTAGATACCATAAAGGCAAATCTTCCTCTGCCTTGTTTACTGAAACCGATGTCCCTCAAAGTGCTATTCTGTTTTCTCTTCTTTTCCGATTCTTCCTACATGACGTGTCTCTTTCAGAAGAAATCAACTTCGTTAGGTGTTACAGGATTTCATCATGAGCTGACATTGGTTAGAGAACCATTGGAGAACCTGGGAGTTCTGGACAGCTGTTTTGTCCTAGTTTGGAACTCTTCAGCGGTACGATGGATGTCGTTGAATATCGATGAGATGCTCACTAGCGACTGACCCTATTCAGGTAGGTAGTTAGTTACCTGGGTTCTAGTGGGAAGTCGTGACCAGTATGGTGCACCAGGTCGGGTGTGAGGACAAATACTCGACGAAGACATTGGCTAGTCGTCGCGCTATGCTGTGAATTCGCAGAAGTTACAGTGCATGGAGTGGCCATTGGATCGGGTCCCTGTGGCTTAGTCATCTACGAGCTCGCCTTGTAACCAGAAGTTCCTGGGTTCGAACTTTGACGGCGGGTGCATACTGCTCAAGAGTCCCAAACTAGGCGGACGAAACAGCTGTCCAGTACTCCGTATAGGTTTTCCAATGGTTCTCTAAGCAATGTCAGCTCATGATGAAATCCTGTAACCAGCCAAATCCCTACAAACCCATCCGCGAATTCCGTTAGATGTATTGATGATATGACGTCCCGATCTGATGTTCTACTCGTTCTCAATGCAAACTTCAAGACTTTGTAGGGATTTATTTTTGTTCAAGTTTGACCACGGATTGATATCAGTTAGAGAGAACCGCTGAAATCCAAGGAGGAATACTGGATAACTGTGTCCTCTGCCCTAGTTTGGGACTCATCAGCAGGACTTAGCCACCGGGGTAGAGGTTTGCATTTATAGGACGGCCACTGAGTTGTGTCCAATTGACTGAATGGTCTACGAGCTTCCCTTGTTATAGGAAGATCCTTGGTTCGAAACCCAGTGGGTGCATGTACTGAATGAATGTATGTGCTATTGTAAGATGCAAATATGGATATTTAGTCTACAATAGCAAATCTCAGAGTATTACTTGTAGTAAACAAAGTGAGTCACTTTTTTCTCAACCCAAAGATGTGCATTGATTAACAATGTGAAAGTTAGTCAGTCAAATGTTACCAAATTTAAACTCTTATAACAGAGTTTATATGGTAAGCATCATATAAAATCACTTGCAGATTATAGTTCTATTCCAAAATATCATATGGACTAATGTCAATTACAGATTGGTGACTTTTAAGCAACTCAGTTATCTACATTGTTAATTATCATAGTTTAAATTTATTAACCAACCAACAGCAACAACAACAGCAGAAACATCCAGCGCCAGTCATCATCAACGGGAGGGATTTGAAAGAGGTCACTTCATTCACTTATCTAGGGGGCATTGTCTCAACTGCAGGCAGCCGGAACGGACGAGGATGTCAAATCGAGCGAGAGTCGGGAAGGCGAGAAACACATTCATCAACCAACTGAAACCAATCTGTAAATCTTCGTCACTCAGCCAGCATCAACAACAAAATTCAGTCGGATTTTCAATACAAAGAACGTCAAGTCAGTCACTTCTTCTATACGGATCAGAAAATTGGCGGACGGGTCACAAAGAATATTTCCAACAGCCTGTTGCAGACCTTCATCAACCAACAACTGTCTTCGCTGGCTCTATACTGAAGATCAGATGGCCGGGCCGGAAAGAATCACCAACAAGAAACTATGTGAACAAACAAAACAAGAAGCAATCGCCCAGCAAATATGCAGGGGAAATGGAGATGGATTGGACACTCGCTGAGGAAGCCGCTGGGTGACATCACGCGTCAGGCCATTGCTTGAGTGGAACCCGAAAGGGAAGCACGCAGAGAGTGGGACGTCAGTGCAAGGGTGACATGGAGGATATCGTGTGAAGAGGAGTTAAAAGAGTATGGACTTACATGGATACAGGTGAAAAGTACAGCATAAGGAAGACAGAAGCAAGTGGAGACGTGCAGTTGAAGCACCTATGTTCCAGTAGGAATCCAAGGGAACAATAATA